TTATACTTCGTTTTAGGACGATAAATTTAAATTATTTATTATAATAACTATCTCATTCAAATAATATGTATGTTTTACTTGTGAAAACGAAACAGTAAGTGTCCTATAGAACACTGTATGAAAGAAGCTATGAATAGTTTAGAGATGTATTCCATGCTTTCACAAGATTTATATATGCAAAGAAGTTTTGAGGAATGTTTGTCCATAATCAATTCCTAATAGTCTTAGACAGTCTCAAAGTTTTATGCAATTTAATCTTCCAGGGAATGTTCTATAGAAAATGGATTGATAAACAGTAAGTCATTCATTTATCATTTTTATTTGTAGCAAATTGTATTAGTACATATGTTAAAATATGAAAAATAATGGTTTTATTATAATTATATGTCCACCCTTGTAAAACTCATGTAAGATAAAATTATCAAATATCATGTGCAAGATGAAATATTTTGTCAAGTTATATCATAAAATCAAACTAGTGAAAGCGTAAGTTTAATTTTTGCACAATATTTAATATTTATTAATGACATAATTGCATGTTGAGACACATTGAAAAACAGTTTGCTTTAGTAATATGATGTCTATGTAGAACACCATCCACCTTTATAAAACATGAGATAAAACTATAAAAGCATCATGTGTAAAATGAAATATTTTATCTTGCATATTAAATAAGCACAGAAAATCTTTGATTTATAATTAAAGAGTCAAACAGTAAGTTTAATGATTTCATGATATTGTCCTTTAGGGATAATTTCAATTGAAATGGTCAAGAAATGTCTAGAACTAATATATTAGTGATAAGTGTTCTTTTTAGGATGATTTACTTGTATAAATGGCCAAGAAATATACAGAACCAATGAATTAGTGTCAAGCATCCATTTTAGGATGATTTACATATAAATGGTTACGAAAATTAATTAACTAATAAATTAGTGATTTAAACTGATTGTATTAAATATAATCATGTTGAGACATGTTGTTCAAAATTGTACTGTTTCCATATCGTGGAACTATGATGTCAAGGGTGCCTATCTGGTATCAAATTGTAATTTCAACCCTCCCTAAGTTAACTGTGCTCCCTGATGGTACGTTTGGGGAACTATGGTGTCATGGCGGCCTTGTTTGTTTGTTTGTTTG